AAACAGATCAAAGTTTTTTTTACACGTTTTGAAATGTAAAAAAAAAAAAAAAAAGATTATTTTTTTACATATTTTCAAATGTTGAAAAAACATAGATCTATGTTTGAACAGTTTAAGGGTTAAATACCACTGCCTCTACCACTCCAGTCGTACTCAATCTACAAGCCCCAAACACAATGAATTATTGTGAAATGTTTGGAAGAGCACGGAGACTAATGCTCACTCCAGCATAAACAAAGCCACACTGACGATGTGTCAACCACTCCCTCCACTATTGCTTCAACCCTCGTATTTTTGTACAATTTCCTTCTTCAATTCTACCGATTTATTATTATTATTATTACTATTGTTATTAATAGCAGTAGCAGAAATGATTGATTCTTTGCCGTGTTCAAGAGTGAACATATGATGTCACCGTCCAATACCTGTCCGAATAGCCATTCCAAAATGCAGTCATGAATGGGTTTACTTTATTTACACTGTAGTTTAATAGCAAATAATGAACAAACAAAACGCTCACCACACAGTGGTGGGAGGGCTGGCTGCCCGTTGCGGGGGTCGGAAGGAGGGTAGTAGGGACTCCCAGTGGTTGAGGCAGTGGTGGAGGCAGTGGTATTTAATAACATACATGTTATTAAACCATAACGTGTATGTATTTAGTACAATTTACGACGTTTTCACGTATTTTATGATTGTTCATGGTTCAACAAGTTAAGGAAGCAGTATTGTATTATATTTTCCTACAATATATTTTTCAACATTTGCGAGGCTCTTGATCCCCTAACCCTCGCGAATGTTGAGGGAGACCTGTAGTAGTGGATTTGTGTCAACCATCTTTGACATTGCTTTAATGTCAACTTTGCACCATTTACAACATTTCTGGTATATTTTTAAATGTTTATATAATAGTTTACTGTATATTGTAATAAACAGAATAGAGGAAATCAGCACTAATATACATTATTTAGGTATGAATTCTGGTCCGAGAGCCCATCGTAAGTCCCGAGTCATCGGTAAACAAGGCTATATTTTACTTTACAGCAGTAGCCTGGAACCTAACCTGCAGCATAAGCAGGGTCCTCCTGCCTCGTGGAAAACATTCTTTGTCTCCACAGATGCCTCAATGCACTACCCATCTTTTTCCTTTATCAGTTCTATGGTTTACCTTGTCTTTCATATACAGGAGGACCCCAATTATATGGCTGGTTAGGTTCCAGGCTACCATTATTTTTTATTATCACACTGGCCGATTCCCACCAAGGCAGGGTGGCCCGAAAAAGGAAAACTTTCACCATCATTCACTCCATCACTGGTCTTGCCAGAAGGGTGCTTTACACTACAGTTTTTAAACTGCAACATTAGCACCCCTCCTTCAGAGTGCAGGCACTGTACTTCCATCTCCAGGACTCAAGTCCGGCCTGCCGGTTTCCCTGAATCCCTTCATAAATGTTACTTTGCTCACACTCCAACAGCACGTCAAGTATTAAAAACCATTTGTCTCCATTCACTCCTATCAAACACGCTCACGCATGCCTGCTGGAAGTCCAAGCCCCTCGCACACAAAACCTCCTTTACCCCCTCCCTCCAACCCTTCCTAGGCCGACCCTACCCCGCCTTCCTTCCACTACAGACTGATACACTCTTGAAGTCATTCTGTTTCGCTCCATTCTCTCTACATGTCCGAACCACCTCAACAACCCTTCCTCACCCTCTGGACAACAGTTTTGGTAATCCCGCACCTCCTCCTAACTTCCAAACTACGAATTCTCTGCATTATATTCACACCCCACACATTGCCCTCAGACAGGGACATCTCCATGCCTCCAGCCTCTCCTCGCTGCAACATTCATCACCCCACGCTTCACACCCATATAAGAGGGTTGGTAAAACTAAAACTCTCATACATTCCCCTCTTTGCCTCCAAGGACAAAGTTTTTTGTCTCCACAGACTCCTAATGCACCACTCACTCTTTTCCCTCATCAATTCTATGATTCACCTCATCTTTCATAGACCCATCCCTGACACGTCCACCCCCAAAATTCTGAATACGTTCACCTCCTCCATACTCTCCCCTCCAATCTGATATTCAATCTTTCATCACCTAATCTTTTTGTTATCCTCATAACCTTACTCTTTCCTGTATTCACCTTTATTTTCTTCTTTTGCACACCCACCAAATTCATCCACCAATCTCTGCAGCTTCTCTTCAGAATCTCCCAAGAGACAGTGTCATCAGCAAAGAGCAGCTGTGACAACTCCCACTTTATGTGTAATTTTTTATCTTTTAACTCCACGCCTCTTGCCAAGACCCTCGCATTTACTTCTCTTACAACCCATCTATAAATATATTAAACAACCACGGGGGACATCACACATCCTTGTCTAAGGCCTACTTTTACTGGGAAAAAATTTCCCTCTTTCCTACATACTCTAACTTGAGCCTCACTATCCTCGTAAAAACGCTTCATGCTTTCAGTAACCTACCTCTACACCATACATTGAACATCTGCCACATTCCCCCCCTATCCACCCTGTCATTTTGCCTTTTTCCAAATCCATAAATGCCACAAAGACCTCTTTACCCTTATTAAATACTGTTCATTAAAAGTTTCACTGTAAACACCTGGTCCACACACCCCCTACCTTTCCTAAGCCCCTTGTTCTTCTGCTATCCTATTCTCCGTCTTACTCTTAATTCTTTCAATTATAACTCTACCATCCCACTTTACCAGGTACACTCAACAAAACTTATCCCCCTATAATTTTTGCACTCTCTTTTATCCCCTTTGCCTTTATACAAAGGAACTATGCATGCTCTCTCCCAACCCCTAGGTACCTTACCCTCTTCCATACATTTATTAAATAATTGCACCAACCACTCCAAAACTATATCCCCACCTGCTTTTAACATTTCTATCTTTATCCCATAAAATCCGGCTGCCTTACCCCCTTTCATTTTACCTACTGCCTCACGAACTTCCCCCCACACTCACAACTGGCTCTTCCTCACTCCTACAAGATGTTTTTCCTCCTTCCCTATACACGAAAATCACACTTCCCTATCTTCATCAACATTTAAAAAATTCCTCAAAATATTCCCTCCATCTTCCCAATACCTCTAACCTCTCCATTTAATAACTCTCCTCTCCTATTTTTAACTGACAAATCCATTTGTTCTCTAGGCTTTCTTAACTTGTTAATCTCACTCCAAAACTTTTTTCTTAATTTTCAACAAAATTTGTTGATAACACTCACCCACTCTCTCATTTGCTCTTTTTTTACATTGCTTCACCCACTCTCTTAACCTCTCTCTTTTTCTCCATATACTCTTCCCTCCTTGCATCACTTCTACTTTGTAAAAACTTCTCATATGTTAACTTTTTCTCCCTCTTTACATCATCATTCCACCAATCGCTCCTCTTCCCTCCTGCACCCACTTTCCTGTAACCACAAACTTCTGCTGAACACTCTAACACTACATTTTAAACCTACCCAATCCCCTTTTTCGACCCCATTGCCTATGCTCTCATTAGCCCATCTACCCTCCAATAGCTGTTTATATCTTACCCTAACTCCTCCTCTTTTAGTTTATAAACCTTCACCTCTCTCTTCCCTGATGCTTCTATTCTCCTTGTATCCCATCTACCTTTTACTCTCAGTGTAGCTACAACTAGAAAGTGATCTGATATATCTGTGGCCCCTCTATAAACATGTACATCCGAAGTCTACTCAACAGCCCTTTTATCTACCAATACATAATCCAACAAACTACTGTCATTTCGCCCTACATCATATCGTGTATACTTATTTTATCCTCTTTTTTTTAAAATTTATTACCTATAACCAAAACCCCCTTTCTATACAAAGTTCAATCAAAGGGCTCCCATTATCATTTACACCTGGCACCCCAAACTTACCTACCACACCCTCTCAAAAGTTCCTCCTACTTTAGCATTCAAGGCCCCCCACCACAAAAACTCTCTCACTTGGTTCAAAGGCTCCTATACATTCATTTAACATCTCCCAAAATCTCTCTCTCTCCTCTGCATTCCTCTCTTCTCCAGGTTGCATACACGCTTATTATGACCCACTTCTCGCACCCAAACCCTTTACTTTAATCCACATAATTCTTGAATTTACACATTCATATTCTTTTTTCCCTCCTTCCATAACTGATCATTTAACATTACTGCTACCCCTTCCTTTGCTCTAACTCTCTCAGATACATCAGATTTAATCCCATTTATTTCCCCCCACTGAAACTCTCCTACCCCCTTCAGCTTTGTTTCGCTTAGAGCCAGGACATCCAACTTCTTTTCATTCATAACATCAGCAATCATCTGTTTTTTGTCATCCGCACTACACCCAAACGCACATTTAAGCACCCCAGTTTTATAAGTTTTTCTTCTTCTCTTTTTTAGTAAATGTATACAGGAGAAGGGGTTACTACCCCATTGCTCCCGGCATTTTATCGCCTCTACGACACCATGGCTTACGGAGGAAAGATTCTTTTCCACTTCCCCATGGACATAGAAGAAATAAAAAAGAACAAGAGCTATTTAGAAAAAGGAGAAAAACCTAGATGTATGTAATTTTATATATATGCATGTGCGTTTTCTGTGAAGTGTGACCAAAGTGTAAGTAGGAGTAGCAAGATATCCCTGTTATCTAGCGTGTTTATGAGACGAAAAAGAAACCAGCAATCCTACCATCATGCAAAACAGTTACAGGTTTTTGTTTCACAGTCATCTGGCAGGACGGTAGTACTTCCCTGGGTGGTTGCTGTCTACCAACCTACTACCTATACAGGCTACCATTGAAAAAACAAAAATTGTGTTCAAGTGAATCCCCCCCCTTTTTTCACTTTAAATGCGTATAAAATGCCTGATAACATGTTTACACTACACAAATCACCCGCACATAGGAGAGGGGAAGCGTATGACAAAGTTTTAATCCAACTTGGACCATATTTATCTCTATTCATGAGCAACAAAACTACCTCATCAAACAATCTGAACACTCGTATGGACTCTCTCCAGTATGACGGCGACGGTGTTCTTTGAAGTGGTGAAGGATGACGAAATTTGGGGCCACAATCCACCAGGTAAAACGTGTTTGATTGGTGTGGATTAACATGTGATATTTTAAAACGAGTGCTGTCGTGTGAACCTGCTTCACAGATTCGACATTCATATGGCCCGGATACCTACACGAAGAAAGTAAATAAATATGTTAAAACTCTCTCAGGCAAACATTTTTTAGAATAATTATGTCAGTTTTTATACAATTCAAAATAAAAATTTTTTTACCTGTTTTTTGACTTGAAAAAGGGGTTTATGATTGTGAAATGGATGGATAACTAAAAGAAACGAGGCTAATTTATATAGAGAATGAAAGAATAAAAATTCTAGGAAGGGCAAACATGGCAAGTGAACAACATAAGGAGTGGTAAGAACAGAACAATACCAAAAGATGTTATCGGAAAAGCAGTACAAATGTGAAGTTATTATATTTTTAAAACCTAATTTCCTGAAATATTTCATTCTTTTCAGCATGTTCCTCCACACACCATGAGAAGTGTAGTGAGGGTAAAGATGAGCTAAGTTTTGACACTGTAGTCTTAATAAAACTTATGCATAATAATGGGAGCAGAGGCATAGCCAGGGGGAGAGACAAGTCCCTCTCAAACCCAACCCTTTTCACTGTATAAAAGAAAAAGAATATGTAATAAAATATATGCTTACTTAGGCAATTTTTATTGCTAAAAAAGTTTCAACTTGTCTGCATTGCATGTAATTTATAACAAATATGAAATAAAGATGTAAATAGCAGATGTTGGGAACCAGACAACCTTAAGAACAGAGAAGCATTGCAGTATGCTTACTGGGATAAAGCTAGGCAAAGCAAGTCCTATAATACTTAATCATAATCATGGTACGAGAATACCAAAAAACTGTAGGTGATAAAGACGATCATAATTAGAAGCTTCATTATGGCATTTTAAAAAAACAAAAATGCACAACACCATGACTGGAACAATACACTAATAACCCGCACATAGGAGAAAGAAACTTATGATTTTATGGTCCAACTTGGACGATTAACCAGTTACACACTAACACACGAAGGTAAGGGAGCCGTACATATACAAGAGGAAAGCAAGGATGGCACAAAGATAGGAGGAGGAAAGAAGGAATTTGGGCATAGTAGAGGTAGAGGTTTAAAGTTTGGGAGTGGAAGTAGTAGTGATGATGGTGGTAGTAATAGGATGGGGGAGTAGAGGTAGTGGCACAAGAGAAAGTGGAAATGAAGTGAGGTAGAGGCAGTGGTGTTAGTATGTAGTAGAAGTAGCAGTAAGGCAGTGATGGTAGCATGAAGTAGAAGTAGCAGTAGAGGCAGTAAGTAGGGAGTAGTAAAATTAGTAGTAGTAGTTAGTAGTAGTAGTTTGTAGTAGTTAGTAGCATAGTTAGTAGTAGTAGTTAGTAGTAGTAGTAGTAGTTTTGTAGGGATAGTAGTTAGTAGTAGCTTTGTATAGTAGTTAGTAGTAGTAAGTTAGTAGTAGTGTAGTAGTAGTAGTTAGTAGTAGTATTGTTAGTAGTAGTAGTTTAGAGTAAATAGTTAGTAGTAGTAGTAGTTTTGTAGTAGTTAGTAATAGTAGTTGTGTATTTGTATGGCGTGGTGGCAGCAGCAAACAGAAGCATTTGTAGTAGTAGTATAATTAAATAGTAGTAATTAGTAGTAGTAATTAGTAGTAGTAATTAGTGTAATTTAGTAATTATAGTAGTAATTAGTAATGAAAGTAGTAGTAGTAATTAGTAATAGTAGTAATATAGAGTAGTAATTAAATTTAGTTTAAATTTGTAAATAGTAATAGTAGTATAGTAATTAGTAGTAGTAGTAATTAGTAGTAGTAGTAGTAATTAGTAGTAGTAATTAGTTAGTAGTAATTTGTAAATATAGTATGTAATTTAGTAGTAATTAGTAGTAGTAGTAATTAGTAGTAGTAGTAATTAAATAGTAAATTAGTAGTAGTAATAGTAGTAGTAGTAATTAGTATATAATTAGTAGTAGTAGTAATTAGTAGTAGTAATTAGTAATTTGTGTAGTAATTAAGTATAGTAATTAGTAGTAGTAATTATGTAGTAGAGTAGTTTTGTAGTAGTAATTAGTTAGTATAATTAGTATAGTAGTAATTAGTAGTATAATTAGTAGTAGTAATTTTAGTTTGTAGTAATTAGTAGTAATTAGTAGTAGTAATTAGTAGTAGTAATTAGTAGTAGTAGTAATTTGTATAGTAGTAATTAGTAGTAGTAATTTTTAGTAGTATTAGTAGTAAATTAGTAGTAGTAATTAGTAGTAGTAATTAGTAGTAGTAGTAATTAGTATAGTATAATTAGTAGTAGTATAAATTAGTAGTTTAGTAATAGTAGTAGTAATTTAGTAGTAGTAGTAATTAGTATAGTAATTAGTAGTAGTAAATAATTAGTATGTAGTAGTAATTAGTAGTAGTAATTAGTAGTAGTAAATTTGTAGTATAGTAATTAGTAGTAGTGTAATTAAATAGTAGTAGTAATTAGTAGTAGTATTTAGTAGTAGTAGTATTAGTAGTAGTAGTAATTAGTAGTAGTAGTAATTATAGTATTAAATTTGTAGTAGTAATTTAGTAGTAGTAATTAGTAGTAGTAGTAATTAGAGTTAATTAGTAGTGTAATTTTTGTGAGTAGTTAGTGTATAGTAATTAGTAGTAGAATTAGAGTAGTAGTAATTAGTAGTAGTAGTAATTGTAGTAGTAATTAGTAGTAGTAATTAGTATAGTAATTAGTATAATTAGTAGTAGTAATAATAGTAGTATAAGTATAGTAATTAGTAGTAGTAGTAATTAGTAGTAGAGTAATTAAATAGTAATAATGTAGTAGAATAATTGTAGTTAGTAGATTAAGTAGAGTAATTAGTATGTAGTAATTAGTAGTAGTAATAATTGTATAGTAGTATTTGTAGAATAATTAGTAGTTAGTAAGTAATTAGTAGTAGTAATTAGTAGTAGTAAATAATTAGTAGTGTAGTAGTAGTAGTAGTAGTTAGTAATTAGTAGAAAGTAATTAGTAGTAGTAGTAATTAGTAGTAGTAGTAATTTAGTATATTAGTAATTAGTAGTAGTAGTAAGTAATTAGTAGTAGTTAGTAATTAGTAGTAGTAGTATTAGTAGTAGTAATTTTTAGTAGTAGATAGTAATTAGTAGTAGTAATTAATTAGTAGTATAGTAATTAGTAGTAGTAATTATAGTTTGTAGTAATTTGTATAGTAGTAATTAGTAGTAGTAGTAATTAAATAGTAGTAATTAGTAGTAGTAGTAGTAATAATTGTAGTAGTTAGTAGTAAATTATATTTGTAGTATAGCATAATTAGTTTGTAGCAGTAATTAGAGTAGTAGCAGTAATTGTAGTAGCAGTAAATTTGTAGTAGTAGCAGTAATTAGTAGCAGTAATTAGTATAGCAGTAAATTTGTAGTATAGCGTAATTAGTAGTATGCAGAATTAGTTAGTAGCATTTAAATTTGTAGTAGTACAGTAATTAGTAGTAGTAGCAGTAATTAGTAGTAGCAGTAATTAGTAGTAGCAGTAATTAGTAGTAGTAGCAGTAATTAGTAGATAGCAGTAATTTGTAGTAGGGAGCAGTAAAATTTGTAGTATACAGTAATATAGTAGTAGCAGTAATTAGTAGTAGTTAGCAGTAATTAGTAGAGTAAACAGTAATTAGTAGTAGTAGCAGGAAATTTGTAGTAGTAGCAGTAATTGTAGTTTGCAATAGTAACAGTTAATTAGTATAGAGTAATTAGTAATAAATAGTAATTAGTATAGAGTAATTAGTATAGTAGTAATTATAATAGAGTAATTAGAGTAGAAACAGTAAAGAGGAGTTAGCAAAAATAGAGTGTAGAAGTAATTAGAGGTGGGCAAATTTGAAAAAAGTAGCCCCTAATTTCAGTTAATAAGCAGTATTATAAGTACAATTAATTTTGTAGTATATTGGGGAGTTTTGATGTAGAAGTTAACAAAATATAAATTTCTTATAATTAGTAAAAGAGATAAATGAGTCATAAGGCAAGAATTAAGTGAAAAACGTAAACACAAGTAATTCAGATGTATGGCCATCATTAAAGTAAAACTGACCACAAATTTCTGACACTGCCCAAAAGTAAGGAAGAAATTTTGATGTCCTTATAAAATGTTTTTTTAAATCTTACAATGGGTCACATTCCAAGGGATAGCTTTGCTTTTCAATGAAAGAAATGGGTACTGAAGTAATATATATATACAGTGGACCCCCAGCATAACGGACGCCTTGCATAGCGGACAATCCGCATAGCGCGACGCTTTGTTCGCTAAAATTTTGCCCCGCATAGCGCCCAAAAACCCGCTCAGCGGCCTTCGTCCGAGACGCGTCCAATGTGCGGCCTGAGCCAGCCTCATATGTTCCGCCGGTGGCATTGTTTACCAGCCAGCCCTCCGTGGTAACATTCAAGCATACAATCGGAATATTTCGTATTATTGCAGTGTTTTCGGTGCTGTTTCTGGAAAATAAGTGACCATGGGCCCCAAGAAAGCTTCTAGTTCCAACCCTACAGCAATAAGGGTTAGAATTCTATAGAAATGAAGAAAGAGATCATTGATAAGTATGAAAGTGGAGTGCGTATCACCGACCTGGTCAGGTTGTACAAGAAACCCAAATCAACCATCTCTTCTATTGTGGGCAAGAAACGGCAATCAAGGAAGCTGTTCTTGCCAAAGGTTTAACTGTGTTTTCGAAACAAAGATCGCAAGTGATGGAAGATGTTGAGAGACTCTTATTGGTGTGGATAAATGAAAAACAGCTAGAGGAGATAGAGTCTCTCAAGCGATCATATGTGAAAAGGCTAGGAAGTTGCATGAGGATTTAATTAAAAAAGGCCTGCAACTAGTGATGATGTGAGTGAATTTAAGGCCAGCAAAGGTTGGTTTGAGAGATTTAAGAAGCGTAGTGGCATACATAGTGTGATACGGCATGGTGAGGCTGCCAGTTCGGACCACAAAGCGGCTGAAAAATATGTGCAGGAATTCAAGGAGTACATAGAAACTGAAGGACTGAAACCTGAACAA